TTATGGATATGGTTAATATTGCTACCACTTATTGGGAATTAAAGTTTATTTTGGATGCTTTGAACAATGTATTAATTTTTTTTTTATAGCAATTGTGCTTAGAAATGATGAACAAGTAAAATAACGTAAAGTTTGGGTGTGGAATTTGGATTTGGATTTGGATTTGGATTATTCATTATAGGTTATGAACTGAAGCAGGGAGACATTGTCAAAAAAAATAAAATAAATAATGAATTTTTTTTTAATGATAGGTTTTTTAATTGTTAATTCATATTTTTGGTGAACAATTGTTTTGGTTGATAAAAGCTGATGTGAAATAGATATGAATTTTTAAAAACCAAAAACTTGATTGGTCTGCCAAAAGATTTGGCATTCAACAACTAATATTGTTTTCGCGCTAGGATGTTTTGGCACGCATTCTACTCTCTAAAATCACTAAACATGGCACTTGATTTAGGTTTCTTTTTAGTGACTAAATGTTAATTACAAGCGCAAAATTTTTTGTATTTTGGCGACTAAACTATTTGGTCACTAATTCTTTATATAGCGACCGATAGTTTATTAGTCGCTAAATCATTTAGAGACAATGGCTTTTGGCGACCTTTTTTTTTGAGTTCGGCTGATACTAGTTTAGCGATGAAAATTATACAACTTGTAGTGACAAATTAAAAACTCACCAAAAGTTGTAACATTGTTTGTAGTTTGAACCTTTTAGCGTTGTTATATTTAAAAAAAACTAATATTTAAGAGAGTTTTTTAGTGTGTTAACATTGCAGGTTTACGCTTCTTGTTGTAATGTGAGATTTTCCAGATGAGGGGGAAATTCATCCAAAACCTTTTATAGTGCGGATATTGTCTAAATTGTATTTCGACATTGGAGAAACCCATTTTTTAAATTCTCCAAAGATTAAACCCAAAACGTTATAACATGGGCTACCATTTTTTATATAATTTTCACTTTAATGCGACTTTTAAATTCATAAGGAAAAAAAAACACGAGAATAAATAATTTTATAAAATTCACATTTGAGATTTGTTAGTGTTTTACCGTTGTTTCAAAAGCTAAAATTTGAGGAGATGACCGTATTGCTTCAAAAAAATGAAAAAAAAATTTATTAAGTATTAATATTTTATTTGCATTAATTTAAAGATAAATTATAAGTACATTCTTCATAATATTTATTTAAAAATACGATAACCCGTTTTGGTTCTAAGAAAATTACATCATGCCGCTTAAATTTTTTAATTTTATAAACAAAATAGTATCATTTTATTAAAATTATTCAAGTCAATAACAATTATTAATATTAATTAGAAATCGTATTTCATAAATAATTCAATAATTTTATTATTGTAGAAAGTAGTTAGGAAATTTTATTTTTTTTAATTATTTTTATTAAATTCCAAAAATTTAACAAGTATATTTATAATTTTTCAATATTATATAAAAACAGTATTTCTATTTTAAACAAACCCTCCATTCAGTTGGACTATTTTTCACAAAAAAAACAAGATTGAGATAACAACATTCCAATATGTATTCATGCATTTAGGTAAGTTGTGAATTTATAACATATTCAAATTACAAAATAAAATATAAATTATCTTTTGGTACGTGTGTAGGGCACCATGCCTAAAGAAATTAAATTAACATAAATAACAAGAAGTTTAGAAATCGGACTCTGCAATTTCAGACTTAAGTAAGATGAGAGTGTGAGGAATAGTGAGATTTGAAATGTGCTATTGTAAAATCGGATGCATAATGATTTGGAAACCACATATTATTATTTAGATATTTTTGAATGAAAATTTTTTATTATAGTATAATAATTAAATAAAAAATTTGAGGATAAGAACATCTCCAACGTTGAGATAATTTTTTATATCAAATTTAAATAAAAATTGATGAAAAATTTGATTTTGATACCGTTTTATTCTACGTTGAATTAAAATTTTATTAAATTTTTTCACATCTCTGGTTATTTTGAGAAGACGCTTATGGACAGCTGGCCTTTGGAAATTAGTATTGGACATGAATAAAAAATTTCTGATCAATATTTTTGCTTTATGAATGGATATTCTTGAAGACATGTCGGTCCAACAATACAAATTTAATAAATTGTTTCTCTTTTCTTTCGATTGAAATTTTATTTTTACTATTTTTTTTTATTTTTGATATAGAGTCGAATACCAAACGTCAGACGGAAAAAAAAAAAAAAAAAACAATAAAAAAAAAAAACCTTTTATACAAGAATTAGAAACGCTCTGATGCGCACGAAAATGCTACCGACTCGACCGTTTTTTTTGGGGGTGATCAAATACGACTCGACCGTTGAGTCATGTAAATTTGAACCAACGGTCAGCATTCCGGCCCCTTCTTTTCCAGTTACACTTCCCAAGATCTGAAACCTAGTTTCTTCTTTCTTCTTCTTCTCTTCTTCTCTTCCTGTAGTTATACGATGAGAACACAAAGGCCTCTAATGTTCTTTCCGATCCTCAACAACTGGAACAAATGGAACAAAGTTTTCAACTCTCTCGTACACATTTTAGAAACACAACAAATACAGCTCGAGTCTCTCTCAAGAGACAGAAAATTTCTTGAAGATCGGATTAAATTGCAGTACGATCGGTGGGTCTCTGATGTTAATCTGTTTCAAGATCAAATCTCTCAGGTAAACCCCCAAATTATTCGGATTTTAATATTTTGCTGTTAATCAATTTAGGGTTTTGAGTTTTCTTTGTTTTAGGGTTTCTGACAATTAAAGAGTCTTTCTTTGAATTTATTGTTCAGATGAAGACATATTTTGCAGTGCAAAAGATGGTGAGCAATGTTGAGGCAGCGAAGTCGGATCTGGAGGTGGGTCAGAAGCAGAGGGAAGGGTTTATGTACAAAATTAAGTTAGGTTAGTTTTTCTTCTTGTAAATGGGGGTTTTGCTCTAATTAATATATATACCATTAATGCTTGTTTGGTATGTGTGAAAATTGAGATGAATGAACTGGAAAATTTGGGATTTAAGATTCTGGTTCCTCTCTCCAAAATCGTGAAAGAAATGACATTAGTCTCTTATCTAGGTGTGAAAAAGAATAAAAATGATTGTGTTTTTTCACTATCATGCTTGGATGATTAAAGCATGTGAGAGAACGATATGAGTGAGATTTTTTTTTCTTTCTTTGTATTTTAATGTGCAATCTCCGTATTATAAATATTTTATAAGTAATTTTCTTGTTTCTCGCCAAATTTTATCACTTTTGGTAATAAATGAAATGGGTAAAATAACATATTTCTTGGAAGTTAACATTAACAAAAGATTTTTAAAAAAATTGAAAGTTTTACTAGGTAAGAGAAAAAACCTTGAACTTGTGTGCGCCCATGTATATGCCCTGGTTATTTACACACTGAAATTTATCATGAATTTATTAATGACCAAGAGAGGTGATAGAGCTGCCAAATACACAATGCACTTAAGCTTCACATAAACACATAAAAAATTGATGTTTGTATGCATATGAATGCAAGGGCATCGAGGGACTAAGGAACGGCAGTGCTTCTGAATTTTGAGAATATTAGTCAAACCTGATACATGTGGATGGAGTTCTTCCTGCATTTTCTTTTTCATCACTTCAAAGTGTTTGTGATATCACCATAAGGTCTTAGTATTTGTTTGTTTTATGTGGAAGCGTGAGATTGTGTGTTTTGATGAGGTTTGGATTGTAGGCAATGGTTGTCATGTGGGATTGATATTTTTGTTTTGCAAATAATATCATACATTGAACTTTTCTCTTCCTAAAAATGCAGATAATGCAGCAAGTGAATTGGCGGATTTTAGAGAATGGTTTGACTACCTCTCTCATAAATGCTGTGAGACAAATGTATGTATTGTTGCCATCTTGCCAAGATTTTTTGTGGATTTCCTTTTCTGAAAAGAGGTCTCAGTTTTCAATGCATTTGCAGGACACCTGTTCTGAGACGTTGGCTCTCTTATCAGAGAGGGACTGTAATAGGAACCAATATAAAAAGAGGGAAAGTGACCTCACTGATCGGTTGGAGAGTAAAAGTAATGAAGTTGAACGGGCAAATGAGAAGATACAGAAACTTCTCACTAGTTTGGAACAATTACAATTGTCAAACAGCGAGAAGGATAGTATGATATTAACATTGAAAACTAACATTGCTGAGCTTGAAGCAACCTCAATAACTAAGAGTGAAGAAATTTCTAGACTTTCCAGGGAAATGAAGTTGTTAAGAAAGGCTAGAAGCAATTCTGTTACACCTGTATTGCGCGGTTGCTTAGCAAAATCTCGATTGGGAGACAAAGACAGAGGCACAGATGCAATTAATACGATTGTAAAGAAAGAATCACATCCTTCACAAGTTTTTAAGAAGGTAATTGAGGATTATTATAAATAGCCTTGATTAATTGGTCATATGGAATGTTTTAGGTGATTTGAGCCCATCAGTGATAGATTGAGTACTCCTTTTTTTTTCTTTTTTCTTTTTTCTTTTTTTGATAAGTAAATATAAATATAATACTAACGCAAGGCATCAAAAAGGGAGGTGAAATAAAAAAAGACTATATATGTATATACAAGGATATACAACTCCAAAAATCTACAAAGCAGAATGTAGATAAAATGGATAAGGCCTTGCTGAACCCAATTATACACATTTATTAAGATATATTTACAAGGACATACAACTCCACCAACTCGCTGAATTTTGCAATTCAATAATTTCACACATTTATCAACTGTTACTGGTACAACATGTAGTCCCGGACTGTGCATTACACACCTCTTTCAACACATCCTAGTTTCACCATAAAATGTTTTCCTTAAGTGATAGCTTGGAGCATATCAGCCAGTTATTTTTCTATCTTATTTTAATATCTTAAAAAAATCTAGTTTATGATCTTCTCCTGTTTTGGTACACTGTCGTTAATGTATCAAGCTTCCATGTTAAAGATACTTGTGTTGGATGGCCATTATTGGATATATATGATACTTGCCTTGAAGAACAACTTGAGTTAGTAGTGATGTATAAGTAGTATATGCGGCCTCTCTAAGTGGTTGAGTTTATTTGAGTGCTATTGTGTAAAGAGAATTTTCTGGCTGGCCTTGTTGCTTGTAGGCTGTTACTTCAACTAAACCCTGAATTCCAGTTTTGAAATAATTGGTTCTATAAGATTGTCTTGATATAGAGTAGAAAACTCATTTTTACCATTATTATAGATTAATACTTTGGGAAAGACCGCAGCTCAGTCACCTTAGTGGATGGTTCCCACTCCTTGATTGCCTTTACCTTGCCTTCTTCCATGCTAAGTTTGCCTCCCTTGATTACATGACCTAGGAAGGAAACTTCGTCCTTTGCAAATGAGCATTTTTCTCTCGACATACAACTCATTTTCCCTTAGTGTCTGGAAGATGGTCCGTAGGTGTTCAACATGTTCCTCAAGAGTGGTGCTGTAGATGACTATGTCATCTAAATAGACCACTACGAACTGGTCTAGGTAGGGGTGGAAGATCTTGTTCATCAATGTGCAAAAGGTGGCGGGTGCGTTGGTGAGGACAAAGGGCATTACTAAGAATTCATAAGAGCCATAGCGAGTTACACAAGCAGTCTTTGGCTCATCACACCTTCCGCAATCCGCACTTGATAGTACCCTGACCTTAGATCAAGCTTAGAAAAGAACTTTGCATGCCAATTTTCTGATTGGCCTTGTTGCTTGTAGGCTGTTACTTCAACTATCCCTGAGTTCCAGTTTTGAAATAATTAGTTCTATAAGATTGTCTTGATATAGAGTCGAAAACTCATTTTTACCATTATTATAGACTAATACTTTGGGAACCAGCTTCTCTGTCGTTGTCTTTTAAACTGGATGACCCAGTTCATGTGATTAGATTGTGCGACCTCAATGTTTTGTCCAATCTATGGTTCAGATTGCATCACAAGTGCTATCACTTAAACATTCTTGCTTTGTCTTTTCTGTCTCAATTGACCAGACATCACACTGTCCCTCCCTTCATTCTCTCTCTCTCTCACCCTTCCAAACTGTCCTGCAGCCATTGTCAATCCTGTTAGGTGATTGCAGCAAATGCAACGCCTAAATGTCATTGTCACCTCTAAAAAACTCTATGGGGGTGGGTATCAAGAGGAGGGGGAAGAAGAGAGGAGATGAGAACAATAGAGATGGGGGAAAAAATCAACATAGAAAATTAGTGGCTGACGATGGGTGAGGAGGGAGGGGGAAGAGACAGACATTAGTAGAGAATGGAGGAAAAAAAAATGACAAGGTTATTTAGATGGAATTCCTGTTCACTTTAGTGAGATATAAGACCACCCAATTGACCCAGTTGAGAGAAAGAAACCCAACTGAGATAGAAAGGAAGGCTGCAGTGTGGTTACCAGGTTGGAACTTGGGATTTGGAAGAGAGAGTAGAGATTGATGATCAGACTCTGGTATAGGAGGGAGGGTGAGAAATGGCATCAAATGTACGTCCATTTACATAACTTAAATAAAATGGCTGAGACTTCACATATGTGGCGGGATCTAAGCTATTCATGAAGCAAAATGATGAGTTGTCTCAATCTCATTTCATGGACTGGACTGTGTATTTGTTTATACACAAATACATCCTGTTGGAGGATTTATTTTCCTATATCATGACCTGCTGATTTTTTTTTCCACACGGTATGATGAATAGTTGCTTATTTTTTCCTTTTCTCTAGCAAATGGTTTGATCGCGTTGTTGAAAGTGGATAATGCATTAAGACTGTATGTATAGTATAGTGAATGGTTAACTATTTATTTATTTATTTTATTTTTATTTTTTTTCCCTTTCTTGGAGCTTGATTGGGATGCTAATTTTTATTTTTCTGTTCAATAACATAAATTTTGTTATTTTTGATATAATAAAGTAGGAAAGATGAAGAGGCATTTTGCATATGTGAAATTATATTGACTTGTTAAACTTCAGATTTTGATCTCTTTTTTTTTTATAGGGGTGTGGAAGTTCAAAGAGAAAACTAGTTGATGCCAATCCTGTTTCAGAGACGCCAAAATTGTTCACGTCTGCATTCAAAGTTCCTAAATTAAAGAATTCATCTTGTCATGCCAATCCTGTTTCAGAGACTCCAAAATTGTTCACGTCTGCATTCAAAGTTCCTAAATTAAAGAATTCATCTTGTCATGTAATTTGACCACATTCAAAGTTCCTAAATTAAAGAATTCATCTTGTCATGTAATTTGACCTCTGTGACAACTTTTTCCTGCCTTCTATTTAAATAGGAAGCTATAGATATATGTATATGTTTGTTAGGTTTGACTTGGTTCTGATACAGATGAGTTTGAAATGGATCACTTGGCTTTGTTTTGGTGGGCATAATTGTTCAGTGTATCCTTCTTCATTTTAGTGTAATTTGTGTAATTGATTAGGCTTTTTTGTAATAAAATGTAATTTGTGTAATTGATTCAGCTTTGAATCTGTGAACTTCTTCACTGCTGATCCACTTGGCTATTGAAAAACTTGTCTCTTGGATCTCTGAACTTCTTTACTGCTCTCAACCCATTTGGGTATTGAAATGCTTGTCTGGCTGAATAGTAGAAATGGGTATGCCCGTACTAAAGGTCTTTTAAGATCGATAAAAACTTGGGCGGTCAAGCATGAAAATGTAATTTCAAGATAAAAAAAAATGTTAGAGATTTCAAAAAATTTATTAAAATTTTTACTAAATGTCTCACATGTGTAGGATTCAAGTGAGATTCTTATGGTGTGGATCTCACACCCATGTAAGACATTTAGTAAGAATTTTGGTAGAACTTTTGAGATCTCTAGCATTACTCTTTCAAGATTGAGTATATATAGCTACTTTATACAAATAATTCCGATGTTGTTGTGTCAAAACTAGATGAACAATGATCTTCTAACTTCCATATCGCTTGACAAGAAGAACTTCATGGCTTTCCATCTTCCTTTTGTTTGAATGGTCAGCCTGTTGAAATTATTAAGGCATTCTAAACAAACTTCTCAATAGTTGTTAAATGTTACGTAAGCCTTACAAGAAAAATCACCATATATTCCTTCTTATGACGTCAGTGGGATCCAAAATTTGAAAAAAAAAAAAAAAAATGCCATGTGAATTTGATAACGTTAAAATAAAATAATAAAATATGAGGATAAATTATAAATACATCTTGAAATTTGCTTTAAAATACAAATTATCTCTTGTAATTTTGAAAATTACAAACATTCATTTATCAAAATTTTTTATTTAACAAAATTAATCGAAAAAATAAAATTTCTAACTAATCTCTTATATGATAACAAAATTACTTGAATCTTTAATTGAAATATATTTCTAATATCATTAAAAATTGTTAATCGATTTTATAATTTATTAATAAAGCGACTTATTTGTTATATGATTAGAAACAAAAAGAGATAAGATGTAATTTTCAGAATTATATAAGTAATTCGTATTTTAAATAAATTTTAAAAAATATATTTATAATTTATCCATATTTATTTCATTATTTTTTTCTAGGACAAATTATATGGACTTCCTTTGAATGTTACCAAAAATACAACTGACACTAGTGTGGAGAAATAACAAGAACCATTTATGTGCACTGGCAGTACTGATGGTCGTGACAGAGGCACTAATTCATTATTTAAGGTTTCATGAAAATTAAAATTATAGAATCAATTGGAAGCAAACCATTTAAATACGGTTTGGTTGGATTTGAAGCAACAATTTCACATAATCTGTTCATAAGAAAATCATATAATATTTTCAAAATATTCAACCTATCATAAATTTTAAAAATAATAATATGTCTATATTGGCTACATATTTTGTATAAGCCAATTACAATTTGACGCGTGGCAGAATAAGGGTAATACAGGAAGACTATTCAAGTCTTCGATCATGATCGTACACGTGACAGTTAGTATTGGCTATTACGAGATCTGAGTAGCATTGGATTAGCAAAGAGATGCAAAGTGATGTGGCTTCAACGGTTACTCACATTCAAATTCAAAATTAGGAGGGAAGCCTAACTGCAAGTGATGGCATAATAGAGCTAATTATAAGGCAACATGATCAGCGATCATGGAGGAGCAGCTCGACGGTTGGAAATGTAGTTCGATGGTCATCCTTAAGAAGTATAAATAACAGAGAAGGCCCCAGAAAAAAGCCCCAGACTCAGATCCAAAAAACCAGTCTTATTCTACTTTATTTCATTTCTAGTTTTACATTTCATGTTCTTTACATTTTTGTGCTTCAAAATTCATGCACTGCACTTCGTTCATAGGAGTAGTTTTAAGTAGATTGTTGCTGTAAACCTCTACAAGGCTGAGTTTGGATCATTGTAAGTTTTTCATTTTAATGAAATGTTTCAATTATTCTTCATTTAATTGTTATTTGCTTAATTCTCCTAAATCAAGCCACTAGTAAAAGTTCTCTTTATTGAGGCTGAAAGAACTAAAACACAATTGTCTGACAATTGGTTGGCAATTAATTTTCTGTAAGGACTGATTGATCCTTACTAGCACGCTTATAATTACAAAAGTAACTTTCGAAAGCCAAAAAGTCAACATATATTTTTGGCACGCCCAGTGGGACTAATTGAAATGGCTAGACGTAGGAGACAA